AGAGTAGAGTTTCATGCTAAGCAAAAGGAGATAGGTAAAAACTTAACATAGCAATTCTAAAGAGGAAAGTATGAACTTTCATATGTGGTATAGTATGCTAAAATTGATCATGTGGTTCTCTCACAAATCGCCTTTGAATATGAGGAATAGTTATTGATGTCTATGGAAAATTCAATGGTAAAATATTCAAACATAAATTTCTATTTATATAAAGCAGCTAGCTAAGCAAAATAAATTGCAAAAATGAAGAGGGTGATATAAGCTTTAAAATGACGTATCGACCATTAATGTGTGAATAAGTTAACTTCAATATTTATATAAATTTTTTAAAAAGTTGTAATAACTTAGTACATTCACCATAAGTTTAAGTGTCTTAGAACTTAAATTAAAATATAACATTTTATTCATTATATTTTTATTTATTATATTAATTATATTTGTGTAATTCCTATAATTGTATTTCAAACTATTTATAAATATATTCATTTAAAATGAATAGTTATCTTATTTTCAATAATGTATAATGAATATAACAAAATATATAGACACATTTCACTCGAATTTTAGAAACAAAATATTTTGTAACCCATTAAAACACCTTGGTAAATAGAATAGGGCTCCTCAGATATGGTAACTAAAGAATGATATATACATACATAATAGATGTAAAAAACAACTGCCCTCTTTACATACATACTGCACATACGATACAACACAATGTTAGCCAAAATTTTTATTATTGATAATTGGTAGATTTCTGAGTTTCAAATGAGTGAACTTTTTTTGTGAATGCTAGTAATAATTAATTGTCATTATTAGTACCGTACTTGTACAAATATTAACACAAAAAAGTTCACTCAGTTATAACTTATAAATTTACTAATTAGTAATTATAAATAATAAAAATCATGATGTAACTGATATAGCATAACAGAGGTCATTCTAACACTTCTACTGGTAGTACATTTTTGAACCCACATTAATATCGTTTAGTAGTAATTAATCAATGGTTTGGGTTTGTGCCACACAAGTTCATTGAGTTTTTTATTTGTAAATTTTTTTAGCTTTGTTCAATAAACACTCATTCAATTTCAACCAAAACAATCACAATTGTGTAGTATAAGAAAATGACATTTAAACTTGTAAATTACAAACTATCAATTATGTTAAAATATTTAAACGCTATTTATTGGACAAAACCTAACGTTAAATGAGTATAATTTTTATAATTAACATTTCAATCTTAATAACGGCATAGTTTATGGTAAATGCGGAATGACTTACATTAAGTGATTTAAATAGATTCTCAGCACATGAATGACTTTCCAATAGTTTCATAAACATTATATCCAGTGATACGAGTGGTAAGAATTTGTTGATGTTTTGCATAAAGTCTTTTCGTACTTTCGGATTATCCATTGTTTTGTACTCTTTTACTCTAATTTAATTTAATTATTTTAATTCATAAGTAAAACAAATATTTATTTGTATAAACAATGAAACCTGAATATAAAACATTGAAATACGTTAAAATTAATGTTATGATTTATATACACACAATAACTAATAAATGGTTGCAAAACACTTAGTTAACCTAAAAGATTAGATATTTAATAGTATTAATAAAGTCATATAATTTGAGTCAAAGATAATATAACAGACATTTCATACAAAAGTAGACTTTGATTGATAACATTAAGTATAAAACAAGATAATTTCGATACTGTATGTTTTAATAAAATATCTAACCTTTGAAACTAATAGTTTCTCAATGACTATATTTATTATGACTTGTATACTGTATATTTCAGTAGTGAGTGAAACAAATCAGACTCTTTGTAACTACGCATTATATTTTCTTAAAATATTTTTATGGTTGCCATGTTTAAATTATAATTAAATATTCAATATAATTGCTATTTTTGTAATTATTCATACGAATATGGCAGATGTTTTAAATAAATTCGAAATTTGCAAAAATATATCTGATGATTCAAAACAAAAAGTATGCAAAAAAAGTATTGATATTTTTCATGTTTTTGAACAAACACTATACGAGAAAAACATATTGTTTGTTACAAACGACGACAATGTATACGGTTTGGGCGGTAATTCATACGGATGTCTGGGTTTAGGACATAATATGTTCGTTCAATCGCCGCAACAAATACCAGAATTAAGTCAAAAACGAATTCAACAGTTTTATATCGGCGGTAATTTTGTGCTTGCTATAAGTGCTTCTAACTGTATATATAGTTGGGGTCAAAATAATTGTGGGCAGTTAGGTAGGAGTGTGACACCGGACATTTATTTAAAACCCGATAAAATATTTATATATAATAAAAATATTGTCACGTCTTGTTGTGGTCTACAGCACAGTTTGGCCCTCACCACCGATGGACAGGTGTATGTGTGGGGTTGCAATAGTGGCGGACAACTTGGTTGTATTATACCAGGTCATTATACATCAGAACCAATATTGTTAAGCATTGCCAGTAATTCGCGCATAGGATCAATATTTTGTGGCTTTAATTCATCGTTTGCTATCACTCTCGATGGACTAGTATACAGTTGCGGCATTTCAGATATTAAACGTAATGATCCAGCTAAGTTAGAACAAGTACCTGGATTAAATGATGTCGCCTCCATGGCCATAGGTCATTGGTATGATGGTATAAATCTTAATAAAAATGTATTTCAAGAAACAGTACATTTTCTCACCAATTCGGGCTCATTATTAAAGGTAAGGAAATAAAGCTATTTATTTATTTAAAAATTAAATCATGTGAATTTATATCAATCAATAAATCTAAATTATATCTGATTGTGTACATAAATTATACCTTAATTAAATATCTGTGCTAACTGATTGAAATATTGTAGGTAAACAAAGTCAACCATAACAATTGATATAAAGTAATGCACATAAACAGAATGTAATATTTAAAATATTACAATGATGTAAATGATATAGATGTTTCAAATTATTAACAAACTTAATATTCACTAGTTATATATTATTATAGGTTGAAAATGCTACCGCAAACGATAATAAAATGGTTCAATATCGCATTATTCACATAAAAAAGGAACATAATTTTAAAGAGATTACAAGTTTTAATTCAGTTTATATTAATTATAACTACATAATACTGTCTAACGGATCAAAGATTTTTAAATTAAACAAAGATGGTCTAGATGCAACAAAATCTGAAACTACCTCAGATTTTTACGCAACCGAATGGCAATTATCCTATAAAACTACAAATTTCAGGGAAAACTATTACCAAGAAACATTTCACATGATACATGAAATAGGTTCTGGTGGTTTTGGGAAAGTATATAAAAATTACAAGAAAAGTGATTATAAAATATACGCCATTAAAATTTTAAATCTTGCCGGTACTAATTAATTATTTTGTAATTATTTTAAATAAGTGATTATTATTATACAACAATGATATAAATATATATAGTAATTTCTAGATTTACCGATAAATACATAACACATTAAGCATAACGGCCTTACTTAATTAATAAATTAAGATGTTATTAAGTAATTTATATCACTGTGATAATATGAATATTAATTAAAGTTTACCAATAAAAATGTTAACTTAAATATTATATTTTTATAACATAGATAATTTTTCCGATAAAGAAATATCAAGAGCATTTGAAGAGACAAAACTTATGTCAAAAGTTCAATCAAAATATTGTGTTGAATATTACGACTCATGGCTTGAAATGGACTATTATTACATACAAATGGAGTTATGTGCCCATAGTCTCAAGAATATTCTTGAACACAAACACCAAGAATTTGATAGAGATAAATTGCATTCTATGAATAGTTACGAGTATTTCATTTCGTGCGAAATATTCCGCGAAATTCTTGAATGTGTTCAGTATTTGCATGAAATGAAAACACCGATCATTCACCGGGATCTAAATCCGGCGAATATATTAATTAGCGAGAGTGCAAAGAGCGGCAGGTTTATTAAATTATGCGACTTCGGACTGGCTACAATTCACAACAAAAGCATAAATAATATGAAAAGTAAGCACACTGGAGGAGACGTGGGCACCATTGGCTTCATCGCACCGGAAGTTTTTAAATCCAAGCCGTACAGTCATAAATGCGATATTTATAGCCTGGCTATAATTGGCACAGAATTGTTTGAATTTGATTTGGACACATTCGACATGGACAAGTATATTTATTTAATAATTCTAAAAATTTTTGATATAATTTAAAACAAAATTTAGAATTTATTTGTTTACCAAATTGTTTGATAACTCATTCTCATAAGTCAAAAAATCTTATGGTTCATAAATAATTCTAACTCTTGTTTTATTTTAAAGGTCTCAATAATAATATTTTTAAAACTATATTTATAGCCCACAACCTTACTCATCGCATAATGCAAACTTAAATGATCCGGTATTTAATCTTAAAACAATATTGAATTCAATGATAATGACTCCTCAATGGCATAAAAGACCGGAATGTAGTGCAGTGTTGGCTCAATATAACGAGTGGTCTATCGATAAAAATATTCTCGCAAATGATCGACAATTTGATATAGACTACAATAGACTCAATCAGAAAGGAAATTCATTTTATGTTAAATATTTTCAAAATATAATTCAATCCCAAATGAACTCTCATCCCATATCTAATATAGTTCGCATTTTGTTTAAGAAGTTTAGACGGCACTCAACCGTACAATAAGCACTTAATGTGTGGCAAACCTTTCCGGAAAACTTATGTGTATAATGCAGTCATACATATATTTTATGTTTTCAATTACGAAATAGACAAAAATTAAAATTAAATGGTATTCGGTTTTGAAATAAATGAAGAATAGAGGGAAGAGTTCGCAAGAATATGACAAAATATAAATCGATTATATTAATATTATATTACTATTATAAATTTCAATTTTTAAATATTAATTATAATTTTTAGTAATGCATATTAGCATACAATTGAATGGAAAACATTTATGTTTTCAATATGTATAACTCCAAGTTGATTGAAATTAATTTTTTTAAAAGTAAAATAATAAAAATTTGTAGCACGCAAGTTTAGAGACAATTATTTTTGTATTGTCTTACAATTAGTTACAAATATGTAAACAATTAACGTATAATTTATTTAATAAAACTCATTATAAATTCTCATTTAATATATCATATTCTTAATATCCATAGCATTTTCATACATAATCCTGTATTTCTAGAAAAAAATGCAATTATCCTTTAAATAGACCAGGGTTAAAGTACAAGTCCCTGTCCACATTCTTCATAGTCAGCTCGGGGCGTTGTGGCATATCAGCCCGGTTCAATTCCTCACATGTCTATACAAGATGTAAATATACAGTACTTTAAATTATTCAAATAAAATCTAACAAATTTCAAAATACCTTGCTAAATATTTGTGTCAAATTGGAATCACATGCGTATTCGGCGATACAATGACTGAATGCCTGTCCAAATAAAGTGTATCCACTGGTCGAGTAAAACGCTTGAATGCCTTAAAGAATATAAAGTTTTTATTTTACTTAAAATAATTATTTTAATAGAAAATTAGTCTAACCCTCGGCACAGGCATAGCAGATGTAGGTGCGAGTGGTGCCGTCCATCCACTCCCCGTCAATGGACTTCCGTTTATCTTCCAAACTAATGTCAGTCTCTATATAAAGGACAGTTAGATAATGATAAGTAAGAATATTATACATTAACCTCATCCCTTAATTTTTTAGCAATTTATGATTAAATAGTGACACAGGTTAATTTGGTCTTATGTTTATTTAAAATTAAATAGCTAATTTAAATTTGAAATATCCTTGGAACTTAAAAACTAAAGTTATTGCTAGGCAATTTATAAACATGCACGAGAATTTAAATCGCTATAATGATAAACATGTACAAATTAGTGTATAAAATAAAATATAATTGTTTATTTATGTTTACAGTTCTACTAACTCATAATTTTTACCATCAAATACTATTCACTCTAAAATTGTTAAATCCTAAAATATTAAGCAAGGTACTGGATAAACTCACTAATTCTGCAGCAATTGAACACAAAAATCTTGGGCTTAGGTCTGAGAGACGGGTGACAATTCCTTTCCGAAAACTGATCGATGAGTTTCTTAATATGAATCTCATCCTGGCCGTGACCACTACCCTGGATCATTTCATCGTGACCATGGCCTATAAACATGACAATCAGGGCATCCTTTTTGAACTCCTGTCGTGAGGCGTGCTTAAGAGTGTCCAGAATCTTGTCGCACGAGTAGTTCACGTGAATATCGACCGAGAAGTATAACTGTTGGAAAATGTGGTTAAAACGATCTGCCTCCTTTTTGAGCTCATCCAGCTGTAGAAACACGATTACCTGCCCCCTGGGGGCGCTGTCCATAACGAACCAACGGGAGGCGCCCGATCGCAAGGTGTGGGCGTTTTTGACCTTTATTTCAACGTCGGATTAGTAGACCATAGGTGTAGTGGACTGGTTGTACTGTTCCAGCTCCTTGGCAGCATGTTCCTGGTCACATTTGGTCAGTATGTCAACCAACTCGTCGCACGCGTTACGATCTCGGTTAAATTCGGTAAATATAAATAGTTTTTTGGCATTTTGGTCGCTTGATGCAATTTCCTATTTGTTAGCAGTATATTATAATTAATTATTTGTATTATATTGGGTGTCCCATCGTATCAGTAGGATTTGTAAATTAAATTAAAAATATTTACAATTATATTTTACTAACAAAAATATAACTTCTGTGCCTTGAAGTCAATAAGAATTGTAAAAATTTATATTTTTTGTTTTGTTTTAGCTAGCACAGTTTTCAAATAAAGGTCGCGGCGAGTACTTTTGCACCAATGTAATATTTAAAAATATAATTATTTATATAAGTTTACATCACAGATATTTATTTTAAAGTTAAATTCCGACAACAATTTAAAATATTAATTAATTAAAATTTTAGAAATATTTGACACTAGGAATATAATTTTTAGTATTTTGAGGTAGACCCGGGTTAAAATACAGCTCCCTGGTCGCCATGAACTGGCGTATCTCAGGCCGTTGACCCAACTCTTCAAATGCTTCAAAAGTCTACATGTATTCACAAATTGTGTCAGGTTAATTTTAATAAAATCAATATGATACATTTTAAATTTGTATGCTATAATTATATACTTACCTTGTTAAATATTTGCAACAAATTGCAATCACACGCGTATCTAGCGATACAATTGCTAAATATCTGACCAAATACTGTAAAACCATTGCCAAAATCAGCCCACACATTTACACCTTAAAAGTATTATTTTGTATTCAATAATATATTTTAAAATGTAATAGTTAGCATGGTGTCACTCACTTTCAACGCACGAGTAGCAAATGAAGTTGCGGGTGTTTTGATTGTACCAGTTTGTATCAATCGGGGACATATCAAACACGAGTAATCTCTGTTCAGTGTTGATATTTGTTGCCATAGGGGTCATCATATTATCTGTTAATGATCGGGGTGAAATTTACATAATTTTATAATTAATTATGTAATCTATTACAAATTGTGTAACAAACATTAAATTATAAAATATTAATTATATTAAGATAGTTTTATGTGAATTATACTTTTTATATCTAAAATTTTTATTGTATCATGCTTACTATGTCTGCAACAGTTAAAAATAAATATCTTAGGTTTTCGATCAAATGTATCATGGCAATTATTTCCAGAAAATATGTCCACAATTTCACAAATCCTTTTCTGTTCCTCATTGGATATCCAGATCCTCTCATCACATCCATGTCCAATATACATGACAATGAGGGCATTTTCAGGGTATGCCTCCTGTGATACAGCCTTTAAAACAGTTAGCATTTCTCCACACGATTTGATTGCATGAATCTCCACATCGAAGTACAACTGTTCGAATATGGAGGCGAATCGTTTGGCTTCCGGTAGGAGTTTCCAAATACTGACAAATATTAACGCCTTTCCCCTGGGAATGCCGTCCATGGGAAACCACCGGGACTGACCTGACCTAATAATGTTCGTAGTTTGGACAGGTAGCTCAATATTGTTAGAGAATTCTGTAATTTTCTTGGGTGTATTATATTCTCGAAGTTTTTGAGCGGCCACGTGTTGCCCGGAGTCATCTAGTATTTTGGCCAACCTTGTACAATTATCACGTTCCCGCGTATATTCTGTAAATATTAAATATTTTCTATTTTCCTCTTGGTCAATTTCCTACACAGAAAATTAATTATTATTAGCAAGGCAGTATTATAAAATCAATGTAAATTTATATACCCCGCAGATTTACTAATCCAGGTGATTAGATATATCAATATTTAATTACTTCAAAATTCATTTATTATATAAAGTGTTGTTAATTTTTAAAATTTTAATATTACTCACCCAAACATTTGGCAAATAGCACGGGTGTGTTTTTAATAAATCCATAAATTCATCAGAGATTACCACTCCATCTAAATATTCCTTTAGATGTTTTATATAAAGATTTCTCTTTACGTTATCCATCATTTCATAATTATATTTATTGTGTGTTACAGGTGTGTTATATTGTCTCAATTTTTCAGCAGCTTGAACCTGGTCACATTTGGTCAGTATGTCAACTAGCTCGTTGCACGTGTAACGATCTCGGTTAAATTTGGTGAATATAAAAAACTTTTTAGCGGTTTCATCGCTTGATTCAATTTCCTATTTGTTAGTATAATTATTATTAAATGAGAAACGTACATTTATAGTAGCCTTTTACAAAAATATACATTAATATCCAAATGTAGTGATTATCTATTACTTTATTATTGTACAGCGTGTTGCAGCATTAGGTACCATGTTTGCGGGCTTATATTTCAAAAACTAAATGAGATGGAATATTATTGTAAAGTGGGTTTATAAGAGTAAAGTATGGGATTTTAAAATCTAC